AGATGCAAATATCAAGGGTCAAGTAGGGACTACTTTCACTGTTTATAAACAAACATGGCGTCGCCCTCGTCATTCGGCGATCAAGTCAGAACTAACCATCGGGAATCTGGATAATTATAAACTTCAGAGATAATTGCTATCATTATCAAAAGAACGGTCTAATATACTGAAAATCAGTGTCTAACTGTGACGTCGCGAAGGCATTTTATAAGTTTTGGCAACTTTGGAGAAACAATTTTGCGAGGGCACGAGGCCTAGCCAAGCGGGATCAGTAGCCATATCTGTGCTCGTAGACCTCTGCGGCTTGAAACCTTCTCCACAAATTAAAATAGTTGGATTTGGCCGAAATATGTTTGAATTGTTACCTTGTTTCGTTTTGTCGCCCTGTGTACATCTGACTACACTTCTTAACGTTATGACAGGACAGACCGACTGTCAACAACGTCTGACCGTGGCCGTGACGTCTCGTAGACTAGGTTTAGAGTAGCTTCCCTTTGACAAAGGGCAGTTACTCTAGCGGACAGACCGATGGATTGCCGCGAAAGGCAATTAAAAACAATTGTTGTTTTGCGTATATGTTGCTTCGCCACTGTATAAGAAACAGATTTCAGTTGGAACTATATTGGCTACTGTCACTGTCCGACTGACACATCACTTACCCTATGACGTAATAAATATCAATGCGCGCATTCCAGGAAAACTCGCAATGTTTCGGTAATGTTTATGAGAGAGGGAAAGCGATTTTGAAGCATAGAATTAAAGAATGACATTATGTGATAAAAAGGTTATCACGCTTGTGTATTTGGGGATGGTAGATATCCTGTATTAGGAATAAACACTATGTATTTAGCTCGCCAAGGCTCGCTAAATACAATGTTTATTCCTAATGCAGTTTATTTACCATCCCCAAACACAATCGCGTGATAACCTCTATTTATCCAATCACGAATAAAACTGAATAGTAAATAGTGAATATTGGCCAATTAATATAATACATTCTGACAAATGAATGTGAGAAGCCCATTTCTGGTCAGTCTCGATTATTCGACGAAACAGATTCCTAGCAAAACCAAAGTCATCAACCACAGATACGAACACACACGACTCAGCCATAGAACAACAGACACACATGAGACTCAGACGCTGACACTCAAACCCTTACGTGATTTCTAATCAACTTGAATACTTCTCAGACATCTGATCATGAATGCCTTCGTTAATCCATTTTACGTCTTCTCTGGTGGGTTCGGGAAAAATCCATTTTTTGAAAGGCATTATCAAAACGAAAAGTGATGACAATTGTAAAGAAAATATATTAACAATTTTTGGAGTTTCAAGACAGTGCAGGTTCTTATATAGAATGTAAACTGAAAGGCATGTTTTTGGTGGTAAAATATCCTGTATTAGGTGACTGGGTGAGTGAGTGAGTTGGGTTTAACGCCGCTTTTAACATTATTCCAGTTATATCACGGCGTGTCAGCTTTATGTGGGAGGAAAGCCCGAAGTGATGCAGGTCTAAGACGTTTACCACTTCGGTGTAACTCACGAGCACGGGAATGGTGCTGACAAAGCTAGAAACAGAATTGGGTCGAACCGGGATTCGAACACACAATCATAGATTTCTGGCGTGCCTAAGGGACGCAACTCTGCACAGCGAATCGCGGCGCCTTAGACGACTGGGCCACCCGTGCCCCCTCCTTGGCGAGGTTTGATACAAAGTATTTATTAATACTAATGCAGGAAATGTACCATCACGATACACACCAACGTGATAACCCCTTTATCATATAATGTCACTCTTAAATTCTGTTGTAAAAAAAACAAACCTGTTCTCATCCCTCACAAACATATAACCGAACATTGCAAGTTTTCCTGGAATGTACGCATTAATATATATTACGTCAAAAGATCGGTGATTTGTCAGGTGGACAGTGACAACAGTCAATATAGTTCCACCTGAAACCTGTGTCATGGACAGTGGCGTATAGTAACTACATAGAGGCTAAAAAACAATAACCTACACATATTGATTCCACTTGCCCTTTGCGGCAATCCATCGGTCCACCAGCTGGAGTAACTGCCATTTACCAAAGGGAAGCGACTAACCTTAAACTATGACACGTCACGTGTTAAGTGAGTGAGTTGGGTTTAACGCCGCTTTTAACAGTATTCCAGTTATATCACGGCGTGTCAGCTTAATGTGGGTGGAAAGCCCGAAGTGATGCCGGTCTCAGACGTTTACCACTTCGGTGAAACCCACGAGCACGGGTATGGTGCTGGCAACTCTAGAAACATAATCGGGGCGAACCGGGATTCGAACCCACAATAATCAATCAAATCCTGCATATGACTGCGTTATTCATCCTCATCATGTAGAACTCTATCATAAGAAACCGTCGCTTGTTCCACCCCTTGGAATAAGAATAAAACCTGACATTTCTGCTGCAAATATTGATCTCACAATCATATGTCCGACTCAAATACTCTCGTCTCCTCCTAGTAAAGGCACAGGTAGATCTTTCATTAACGGCACTAAAGAAATCAGACACCAATCAACTCATTTATCAGCAAGAATATAATCAATTAAGAAACACATACAGTACTTACAAGTCTATATTTATAGATGGATCCAAGGATGGTGACGCAGTTCCTTGCGCCACCGTAATTGGATCCAGAACCATATCATCCAGATTACCAAATGAAAGTTTTACAGCAGAATCACAGGCAATATTAACAGCTCTCAAATATATAAATACTCAGTCCAAACATAATAAATTCATCATATTTTCTGATTCCCTTTCTTGTCTTCAAGCCATTAAGAATATGTCATATGAACATCCACTTTTACACGAAATTATAGAATTATTTAATGATCTTGCTACTGGCCAATATGAAATCGTCTTTTGTTGGTTACCAAGCCATGTTGGTATCATTGGTAACACAATGGCCGATGCTGCTGCAAAAGCAGCACTCAACAAATCTGTGACAACACTTCTAATCCCATATACTGATTACAAACCTGTAATCAGATCTTACATCCGTGATATTATGCAAAAGAAGTGGGACACCCAGGTAGGTACTAATAAATTACATGAAATTAAACCACATATCGGTTACACCTACTTGGGCTGTCAGTCCAGATTTGAAGAGGTCATTGTGCGACTATGTCGGGTTGGCCATTCCAGATATACGCATGAGTATATATTGAAAGGTGAGGATCCTCCGTTTTGTATCCCTTGTGATGGAAGAATCACGGTCAGGCATGTCCTGCTTGACTGTATTGATTTTTCCATCACAAGGGATAAATATTTCAGTGTTAAAACGGCCAAGGACCTTTTTAATGACGTTAATTATGATTAAAAATTATGCTTTTTAAAAGAAATTGAACTTTTTCATAAATTTTGATGTATTTAGGGTATTATTTTATAAATTGGTAGTGCTTATTTATAACTGAGATTGTTAGTGGCTGTACCCTCGAGGGGGGTTGAAGTAGCGTAAAACTTTTGTCCCCCTAAGAGGCTATGTAAGTCCCACATCATTCGAAGTATTTGTATGCATGCCAGAATTTTAAAAAGTAGTATTTTCGTCATTTTAACATAAGGTTTAACTGGTATACTATCGCCAGTGACTGTAGGGATTTTATAAATCCTGCCAGGGTCCATGCAGGAAGCAAAGGCACTGTAAGTCCCCATGGTCATTGGTATGGTGATCTCCCTTTAGTGCCTCATGATCAACTAGTTTTAAATCTAATCTGTGATATGCTAGTTATTGTACTGTCCTTCGATGACAGGTTTTTATAAAGTTTAAATATATGCATTATTAGTTTCTAACTTCTCGTCACGATATGGCTGAAATATTGCCGATGTGACATTAAATATTAACTCACTCACTCACTCACTCGAACCCCCAATCATAGGTTTCTGGTGTGCCCAAGGGACGCAACTCTGCACAGCGCATCGCGGCGCCTTAGACGACTGGGCCACCCGTGCCCCTCTCACGTGTTTAGAGACTGCGTGGCCCGTCATCATGATCAGAAGGTCATAACTTTACGATGTGCAGAGTCAGATGAACACACAGCGACAAAATGACAAATCAAACTGTTGTAAATTTGGGAAAAGGACCCAAGCCGATGAGGTCAACAAGCGCGGCAATGGAAACTGATCCCGCTAGGTTGGTGGTCTCGCTAAATTGTTTCGCAGTTTATATCTCCAAAGTTGCCAAAACTTGTAAAATACCTCAGCTACGACCCAGGTAGACACTGATTTTCAGTATCTCGGACTATTTTTTGATAATAAAAACAATAATTGAAGTAAATTCTCCAGATTCACGATGGTTAACTCTGCGTCGACTGACAAGGGCAACGCCATTCCTGTTTGTAAACACTGAAAGTAGTACCTACCTGACCTTTCATATTTGCATTATTATCCGTATATAACCCCAACGGATATCGATTTTATCCGTTGGCTTTATCCTGCCGAAAAACCTACTACTGATATGCTAAAGCTGGAATATTGCTTACTGAGTTGTGAAAATGGTGTGATGGAACAGTAAATTTGTAGGACTGATTCATCATATGGTAAGGAGATGCCATCCTCGTGCGATATATCACGCCTAGCGTGTTAGAACTTGGTTAGTCACTGTTATAAGGGTCGATAATTGAAATAAATGATGTTTTTTTATTACCGAGACTGAATTTCACACAACACAAAAATACATGGTAAAGATCAAGACTGTAAAGAGCACAGGTAATCTGGTTGTAGGAATTCGGTCCCGCCCACATTAAATAACAGTTCATACAAAAAGTGTGGCATCACTTTGCAAATGACGTTATTCGAAGTTCGCCTCTATTCACCCAGCATAGAATGGGAACCCGGTAGAATGAGATGATAAATGGACACCAAACATTCTAGCGCTTCAGGGCGAATTAAACTGAATACTCCCCTGGGAGATGTGTATATAATTTAAGTGCGCACTGATCAAAATGAAAAACAACAACAATGTTTTGCGCCAAAAGAATACTTTAAGTGTCAACGATACAAGACAATACAGATAAGAATGTGTGAGTATACTCACCGCCAAAAGAACCCGAATACCATACATGTTGGTTAATATATAAAGACTTACTCGTATTCAAGAGATATTAGTTTGGTTCGATGCACAAACGAACATATTGGTATGTTGTGTGAACCGATGCTAATGAACGCATCACATGTAACTTCATAGATCCATGACTCGAGATGCTTCATACATCTCGTGCTGGAATAGCATGCCAAGTTTGGAAATCACGTGCAGCATAACGGGACAAGAAAAAGAGTCACTCTGTGGTTACTCTCGACTAATTGTTAGTTTTGTCATTAATTGGTACACATTGGAAACATCTCTTATTAACGTAAATGCTTCTCTAGATCTTTCTATAGTTCGCGTATTAGCGGTGAGTATATTATCACATTATGGTCGACGTCATTGGCGTTTAAAATTAGCAAACTATTAATATCGTTCCTTAAATATCAACAGTTTAATGGCTGCGTGGAGATGTTAGATGAACAGTTTCAGGTAGTTGGTGGTATGCTGATAGGATAACTTCAGGATAACCCATCAGTTTGTGTTCCTCTGCAGCCTTTTCACAACACATCGGAACGTCTTCCTTAGATCACGGCGTATGAACTCCCTGAAGTCACCGAGACGACCAGCGTAAATGAAAATGTTGACTGCTGACGTCATGTACAGCAGAATACGGGCACTGGCCCTGAAACAAAGTGATGATGAACATACAGCTTGCTTGAAAACCAGTGTGTGAAGTATACCAGAAACGTTTGATAGGGAGAATCAGACATGTCATTCTATTTAAATATATGCTTGGCATGTTATGAGAATCAGACATGTCATTCTATTGAAATATATGCTTGGCATGTTATGAGAACCAGCTTGGTGTATCATGGAAACATAGAAATCGCCCAATAATATAAAAACTATGGATATATAACGTGTTTGTTGAAATAGAGACAAACGCAACATTAAAGTGGAAAAGATTCTCACTGGACGACATGAATTCGGTTTGATAAAAAGGTTCACGTAGAATATATTTATTTGATTGTCCTTGATTGGACAAAACACTTGTTTATCCGGTCACTCCACGTTCCTGGCGACAACTGTTGGAAACGTCTCAATAATTACAAATCCACATGACTGCAAACTCCCTTCCATATTGGATTCCAATATAGACATGTGCATGAAACTATTTGTCATATTCACCCCGATGCAATGCTTGTAAGAGGCCACGATATCGGATCGAATGGTCAGATCATGTCTTAGTCAGTTGGCCAGGAGTGAAAAACAAGATTTTCCTGTATACCTTAAACCTTTTCGATTGCATAAAGGAGGTATCTGTACACAATTTCCATTGGGTAGTAAGCTTGCAAGTGTGTGCGTGAATTTTCAGGAAGTCAAAAAATGCCTCGGTTGTCAATGACAATGTGGTCGTACACATTGCATGAGGCATTGTTGCATTGTTGCAATTATCCTACTCATCCACTACATCAACATAATCTACCACCATATCTCAATAAGCATTTTTCGTCAAAATTGTTTTTTTGGGGGGTGGGATAACATTGTATACAATATCTCAGCCCCTATGTCATATATTTTCATTTTGTTTTGTGTATAGAATAATGCAATGGTTCAGGCAGATTTTGATACCCAGTTATAGTGGTTTTATTGCCACAATTCAATGGAATTAGTGTTTTACCTACTGACCTGATTTGAAAATGAAGTGAAAAAACATTATTTTTATCAATGTTTCCACTTAGAATAAGAATAACAGTTATATGAAACAAAATGTTTGCCAAATTCAGATATGCGAACACATTACCTGTAATCAAAGACATAATTTGGATAGTTTAATGACTTAATGAAAATGTTACAGCCTTTACCGCTTCCATGCATTAAGTACAATACTTTACATGCTGCTAACAGGGTGTATGCGAAACTAATACGCAACCAGGGAGCTTATTTCTACAGGCATCATAGTGACGAGGTAGTCTATTGATGTGATTGACGAAATTGGCGGCGCGCCTTCCTCAGTTATTTGCAACTGTAAGGGCTAACCCCAACAGCTATCCATGCGGACATGATGCAACTTTGGGAGATGCTGCTCCATCCTTTGCCTCTTCAACAGAAGAAGATGATCACAGATCAGGAAGGCATTCAACTATCACCCCTGAGAGAAATGTTAATAAGATATATGAAATGATCATAATGATTGACACGCCACAGAGCCAATGCAGTAGACATCTCTCATGAGACAGTTGAGAACTCTCTGAGAAATAAAGCGGTCATAAGAAAGGTTTCAGCAACCTGGAAACGCTCCCGATTTATCATTTCACATGAGGATTTATGTCGTTTTGAAGCAGACCCAGATGATATTGTTGAGCGATTTGTAACCATGGATGAGTTTTGTGACCACCTATATCAGCGACAGACTAAACAAAATTCAAAGCAGTGAAAAAATCTCCTTCGACGAAAAAGGTTAAGTCTGTTCCATCAGCTGACAAAGTCATGGCCTCAGTTTTCTGGTGAACTACCTTCTAAATCGTCAGACCATTAACGGCTTAGACAACTAGGTGAGGATATCAAGGCTAAAGTTGTGCAGGACAATGCACCTGCAATGCATGGCTGGCTTTGAACTTATATTGGACATCCTCCGCGTACACCAGATTTGTCACCATAAAATGGCCACCTCTTGCCAAACTTGCCAAATATGTCTGCTATGGAAGTCTTAGAGTTTTTACACCAGCAGTAGGAAACCGTTCACATCAATGGGATCCAGGCACTCCAGCCTCGTTGGCAGAAATGTGTGGACCTCAGAGGGGATTAGGTTATTAATATTAGCAACTATGTTTGTCAATGCCCTCCATTGTATTTGGGCTCAGGTTTTTCCCCGCAACTCTCCGTATATTGTTGACTGTGGCGTAAAACAAAAATAAAACGCAAAATACTACAAAAAAATGCATTACACGTAAGACCGGGTTAGAATGATAGGTTCCTGGCAATCGTGCACTAGTCGGGTGGTCAGACACGGTGTCATAGATTGTTGTGTGTCTTCGAAGCTCCAACGGTATGGATTATTGCTCATTCTATCAAGTTCGCTCGTCACGCCGAAGACCCGGGTTCGAATCCCGACATGGGTACAATGTGTGAAGCCAATTTCTGGTGTCCCCCGCCGTGATATTGCTGGAATATTGCTAAAAGCGGCGTAAAACCAAACTCACTCACTCACTCATTGTATCAATCACTCTATATCAATCACTGGATTGTCTGGTACAGATTCGATTATCTAAAGACCGCCGTCATATCGCTGGAATATTGCTGAGTGCGGCGTTAGACAAACAAATAAACAATCACTGGATGGCCTGGTCCAAACTCGATTATCGATTACAATGAAACACATACAAACTTACCTGATGAAACGGTTGATGTGGCAGGTTTCGCATGCGATACTGACGAAAAAGTAGATGACCATTGGTGTCCAGCCCACGGCGAAACTGAACAAGAGGATTGACACCATGATGGTGGATTTAACCTCCCGTCCGAGGATGCTGCTTGATCTGCTGAATGATATCCGGAATGGCGAGGGTCGTGGCGGTTCATGGAGCGACATAACCTTCGCCTAAAATAAGGTTAATTTCCAAGGTTAATTGAATATCCCAGTGGACATTTTCGACATTAAGTAATTTGACACGAGCATATGTTACATTTCTCAGGAAGACTGGGGGCACGGGTGGCCCAGTCGTCTAAGGCGCCGCGATTCGCTGTGCAGAGTTGCGTCCCTTTGGCATGCCAGAAACCTATGATTGTGGGTTCGAATCCCGGTTGGCCCAAATTATGTTTCTAGGTTTGTCAGCACCATACCCGTGCTCGTGGGTTTCACCGAAGTGGTAAACGTCTGAGACCGGCATCACTTCGGGCTTTCTTCCCACATTAAGCTGACACGCCGTGATATAACTGGAATACTGTTAAAAGCGGCGTTAAACACAACTCACTCACTCAATCAAGGAAGACGTGGAAAGTGGTGTAGCCTTATGGTTCATGATCATATGTTCTCTCGACATGGCATCGACCCAGCTTGGTTAATTATGGCAAGTACATTGCATTGTTGTAACTATGGTTCATATAAGGGGTAAATGTTATGCTATTGACAAAAACAACCTAATATTTTGTCATTCATCTGATCTATACTTTATCATCACAATTCATTCACAAGACAAGTAACTGGTAACAGGAGACAGAGCGACACTCCCTTAAGAGGGGTGGTGAACTTACAATGTTCATAGCAATATTCCAGCAATATCACTGCGGGGGACACCAGAAATTGGCTTCACACATTGTACCCATGTCGGGAATCGAACCCGGGTCTTCGGCGTGACAAGCTAACGCTTTAACCACTAGGCTACCCGACCGCCCCCAACAACGACCTTAAAGACGAGGAGATGTCTTTTTGAATATATTTTGAAAGATGCATTATTTAAGTTCAGAATGAATTTATTTTTATTGACAAACTGACAAACAAAGAATCGGGACTAATTTGGGTTTCGAATCCACGAGCACAATATTTTGGCACGACTAAGGGACGCAACCTTGCACAGCGATTTGCGGTATAACAGACGACTTGGCCACCCGCGCCTTCTTCAGACATGCTTAAAACACGTTGCGCATATAAAGGCCTAAATATTGTCATTGCAAGTGACACTGATACAACGACTGGTCATGTATATCGTGAAACTTCCGGATATATCTTGGATTCAGTTGAGATCATCTACTTTGTACATGTGAAAGCGACATCAGGACATTTTATGCCCGCTTGTTCCAATTGTGTGCCCTTGCTAAATCTAACAGACTGCCGTCGGGGTCTAGTGGATCCGGACCTCGTGGTCTGCCCAAAGAGCGGAAGGTTGGTGGTTCGATGCCCGGCTACGTCACACCAAACGACGTCAAAGGACGGTACTTGTTGTTAGCCTTTTGCGTTCGGCATTAAGGGGAAAAACAAGGACTCTGAGTCCGTATACTGTGTCTGAGTTGGGTATTCATGTTAAGCTGTGGCATGGTATGTCAGTGGACGTGAACGTAAGTAATATATGATATATAATAATTTATAATATATAACCCCATTTCACCTCACCTCTTTTCCTAACCTAGAAGGATTTGCAAAGGTTTAAACTTAACACAGAGAGAGAGAGAGAGAGAGAGAGAGAGAGAGAGAGAGAGAGAGAGAGAGAGAGAGAGAGAGAGAGAGAGAGAGAGAGAGACTGAGTATGTATTAGTTATATTTCCTCGATTTATGCAATTCTTCATAGCTCACAGGAGACAGTCGTCATGATCAGTACTCATCTTAGGAACTTACACGAAAAGTCTACCAAATCGCCCAAGATCTCAGGATAACTTATATGCAGTATATTCAGTCTATACGACAAACATCCTTTTCGTTAGGGTGATACTGAGTATATAGTATATATGTTCTGTAATATATAATAAAGCTGTGATCATACATGTATTACTCATTGACTAACTATGTACAGAGGCAACAACCGGTCAGTACATGTACCTACAAGCGCAGCTTCATGTCGTTTAAAAGTCACCCCACAAATTATCAAAAAGCTGTGCGTCTCCAGTTGGGAATGCAAATATCTTGATATTTTATAACATCTTTGGAAAAGAAATTAAGAAATGTTGTGCATAATTGTAATGTTTATCTATGATTTCAACATATGTAAAAAGAGTGAGTGAGTGAGTGAATGAGGTTTTACGCCGCTTTTAGCAATATTCCAGCAATATCACGGCGGGGGACACCAGAAATGTAAAAAGAAAATGGGTCAAGCATTATACATAGTACCAATTACACAAACTTAATTAAATTCTTCAAAATATGAGAAATTCCAGTGTATTCAAGTCGTCGTAAAGAAACTATATGAAGCGTGTTGATCTCCACACGTAGATACTCACATGCCTGCGGGCGATGCGTGCAATCTTGTAGTAGAGCCCCACCATGACGCTGAGTGGGAAGAAGAGTTGGATAACAAACAGGATCCCGACATGATGCAGGGAGAAGATAAGCTCATATTGGCAGATGCCCTTGTAATCAACTGAAGTGGAACAACAAAAATTCCCGTAAGTAATGTTGCGGACCAGTTTTTAAACTCAAAATATCGATCTGCGACCAGGAAACCGTAATATCAAATTATGCCCTAGTTCAAATTGTCTTATCTGTTTTTAAGATACTATCAGTATGTAGCCGGATTAACTGAATATTCCTCGGAATCGAAACATGTGCATTGCGTTCAAGTATATCATGACACCTCTTGGGGATTTCAGGTTAGAGCTGATCTCCGGCATCTAGTGGTGGTCGAAAGAGGAGACTTCGTGGATCGGATGGTCAGTTCGGTTACCTGGCTGATTGCGTGTTATCGTGCTCCCAATATCGATCACTTGATTGGTTCACCCTCGAATATTTACAGGCCATCGTCTTATAGCTGGAAAAGTGCTGAGTGTAGCGTTAAACAACAAACAAATATATGAGTGAGTGAGTGAGGTTTTACCCTGCTTTTAGCAATATTCCAGCAATATCACGGCGGGGGACACCACAAATGGGCTTCACACATTGTACCCATGTCTGGAATCGAATTCGGGTCTTCGGCGTGACGAGCGAACACTTTAACCACTAGGCTACCCGATCGCCCCTCAGTTTTGGAAAAGGTAACACAAGCCTTAGATACTTACAATTATATGAACATCAACGGGCAGGGGCAGGGTTCTGACATACACTAGATATTTATTCAGGGTGAATTTTGGATCGGAAACTACGACAAGCGGATCCTTGCACTACTAGGGGACGCAACTCTTAATAATAAATTACAGCGCCTCAGTCCATTAGGCTGGATATAGGTAACGGCAACATGCACAGGGTATGAGGTTACTGAAATATTTATTGTGGATAAAATGTGGTTGTTGGATCAAAAGATTGAAAAGCACATGCGAATATCCAGGTTGATCGTGATATTGTATAATTTAAGTCTAACTTTGTTAAAGTATAGACCACTGACTTGACACCAAAGCGATGCTTTATATATATAATTAATGCTTTACAGCTACATGATATCAGATCCTTCAATTCAGTCCGACACGCGATACCTCGTCACCCTGAGAAATATCGTATCGGACTACAAGATATTATTTCAAAGAGAAGGATACAGCTATTCTCTGCTAGAAAAATAAGACCAGGCAAAACAGTTGTTGAATAGCGTAGTTAAAGATAAATTGGATTCATGAATTCTGCTTGGCAAAATGAATGCTGCAGTCATGACATATATAATTAAGTATGCTAAATATTCATCAGAAAAGTTTCTATTAGCTCTTTTTCTCCACATTCTGCTAACCGAGCACGTTCAGTTGTTACAGTTGAATATGTATATTGTATCATGACGTATTTTAGTATTCCACAGTGAGAGTACAAGAGAGAGCGGGTTATGGACAATTACTGATGCCATGTGAAGTTTTGAATGTTAATAAACATTTTGTGTTTTTAGATTTGCCGGTGTTAATGAATATTCGAAGTTCTGAAATTTGGACATTTGAAACAATGAAATCGAATACCAGTATTCAATTACTAACCAGTGCTTGTCGTAAGAGGCGACTAACGGGAGAGATGGTCAGAATCGGTGACTTGATTGATGCATGTCATCGTATCCAAAATGCGTAAAGACCCGTGAAGATTTCGGGATAGAATAGGTCTTCAGCAACCCATGCTTGCCGTAAAAGGTGACTATGCTTGTCGTAAAAGGCGACGAACGGGATCGGGTGGTCGGGCCCGCTGACTGTCAATGTCAATCACTGGATTGTCTGGCCCAGACTCGATTATTTACAGACCGCCGTCATATAGCTGGAATATTGCTGAGTGCGGCGTTAAACAACAAACCAACCAACCAAAATGCGTAGATCGATGCTCATGATGTCAATCACTGGATTGTCTGGTCCGCATTCGATTATTAACAGACCGTCGTAATATAGCTGGAATATTGCTTAATGCTGCGTTAAACAACAAACAAACAAACGAACAAAAAGACAATTACTAACCTGGATCATAAAAGGTATACTGTGCCACAGCGACACCCTCTGAGAGAACCCAGATGATGGGGATCCAGATAGCAGTGCTCCTTGTGGTGATATAGTGATGGTAGCGGAGAGGATGGACGATGGCGATGTAGCGAGTGACCGTGATGGCCACGAGGTGATAGGAGGAGCAGATCTCGAGGGCTAGGACCTGGGACACCAGGATTCGACACACAGACCATTTACCTACATGCAGATATGGCGTACATTATAGTATTTTAACCTCAAGTAAAGACAGGTAAAGATTGCTTCACATCATCAGAGCATGTTAATTAAACTACACATTCACACATGCATAACTGACTGTCAGGGCCAAACTTACATGCTCACCGAGTGGCACCGGTATATGAACGTCAAAGATGCACAATATATATACCGCAAAACATAACATGTGTTAATGGTCACACCATTGTACAGGATACCGACATGAATGTCTGAGCAAGCGGTGAAAATGATATTTGTCAATATGTCTGCTGAGAGAAAGTTTCGAGAACTCACTGCTGGGAACTATGAACAAAAGTTCAGCTTCAATTATCAAGAAATTTCAGAGACGTCGAAAAGTTATATTCAATATTTATACGACGTAACAGTTTACGACGGACAACCTGTCATACGACTGACATGGCGCTGTTGACTTTCAGTCAGATGATCTAAACTGAGGGGCAAACGAAAGGATATTTAAAGTAAAAGAGCTTTTTATGTAATCAAAAATTCAAATAACTGTTGTTAGAAATAGTTATGTCTATTTAACCACCACGTATTTCTGCAGTAGTCTATGGCTGGGTAACTAGACTATTATATGGTCTCTGAATGAAGTCTGGAGTAACAAGTGAATTTAACACGTCCCATTTTAATTCTGGAAACCCAAAAGTCCAGAAACTCTACGCTCTTTGCCCAGTCTCGGTTAAAGGTATTTACAAAATTAAACATGCCGTTTTCATGGGAACATACCAAGGAAGAAAAAATGAAAAAAAAATTGTTTAAAAACTCAATATTTAGACTATGTCGCCCATGGGCCTGCCCATGGGCGAAGTGTGGCCCATGGGCCTGCCCATGGGCGAAGTCTGGCCCATGGGTAGGCCCATGGGCAGGCCCATGGGCGAGAATATGTTCCTTTACTTAAAACTCATGTTTTGGTTTCGCAAATACATTTAATGTATTCATTCAAGTATCATGACACAAAATTTAATTCATTTTAACTTAATTCAACGATTTTATAACGATATTGAAATATTTCGCCCATGGGCGAGAAAAAGGTTTGGCCCATGGGCGAGAATATGTTCCTTTACTTAAAACTCATGATTTTGTTTCGCAAATACATTAAATGTATTTATTGAAGTATCATGACACAAAATTTACCTCATTTTAACTTATTTCAACTATTTTATAGCGATATTGAAATATTTCGCCCATGGGCGAGAAAAAAGGTTTGGCCCATGGGTAGGCCCATGGGTAAGCCCATGGGCAGGCCCATGGGCGAGAATATGTTCCTTTACTTAAAACTCATGTTTTGGTTTCGCAAATACATTTAATGTATTCATTCAAGTATCATGACACAAAATTTAACTCATTTTAACTTAATTCAACGATTTGATAGCGATATTGAAATATTTCGCCCATGGGCGAGAAAAAGGTTTGGCCCATGGGCGAGAATATGTTCCTTTACTTAAAACTCATGATTTTGTTTCGCAAATACATTAAATGTATTTATTGAAGTATCATGACACAAAATTTACCTCATTTTAACTTATTTCAACTATTTTATAGCGATATTGAAATATTTCGCCCATGGGCGAGAAAAAAGGTTTGGCCCATGGGTAGGCCCATGGGTAAGCCCATGGGCGAGAATATGTTCCTTTACTTAAAACTCATGTTTTGGTTTCGCAAATACATTTAATGTATTCATTCAAGTATCATGACACAAAATTTAACTCATTTTAACTTAATTCAACGATTTGATAGCGATATTGAAATATTTCGCCCATGGGCGAGAAAAAGGTTTGGCCCATGGGTAGGCCCATGGGTAGGCCCATGGGCAGGCCCATGGGCGAGAATATGTTCCTTTACTTAAAACTCATGTTTTGGTTTCGCAAATACATTTAATGTATTCATTCAAGTATCATGACACAAAATTTAACTCATTTTAACTTAATTCAACGATTTTATAGCGATATTGAAATATTTCGCCCATGGGCGAGAAAAAGGTTTGGCCCATGGGTAGGCCCATGGGTAGGCCCATGGGCAGGCCCATGGGCGAGAATATGTTCCTTTACTTAAAACTCATGTTTTTGTATCGCAAATACATTTAATGTATTCATTCAAGTATCATGACACAAAATTTAACTCATTTTAACTTAATTCAACGATTTTATAGCGATATTGAAATATTTCGCCCATGGGCGAGAAAAAGGGTTTGGCCCATGGGCGAGTATATGTTCCTTTACTCAAAACTCAGGTTGTTTTTTCGCAAATACATTAAATGTATTTATTTAAGTATCATGACACAAAATTTAACTAATTTTTACTTAATTCAACTATTTTACGGCGTTATTAAAATATTTCGCCCATGTTTACGTCAGTCCCTTTCAAGCATCAACTAACTGTTTGCAAAGTATATTGTATCATGTGAAATATACTTTATATTATATCATTACATTACTATTTAAAAAGGGCATTTGGTTGGATGTTTCCTTTAGTTCTACAAATTTCACCTGTTTTACTTATTGTAGCGATCTTTAATGAACCCGGCCTTACCTCTCAAAACGTTTTGACAGTTTATCATACGAATTCATGTGCATGTACTCCAATTCATTGGAGTTATTTTCCACAACATTAAATTTTAGTTAGTTTCTATTTCATTTCCCATTTAATGTCCCGTTGATACATCACACTGGGCAATTACGTGACACCAGGTATGCAATATACAGGTACGCGTGCGCGTATTTTAATGAAAAAAACTATTCGTCTTTTATTGCATAACGTTTGGCTGAATATCTTACATTCTAACGAAATCTCGAAATAATTATTTAATTACAAGCAGTGTCGAACTGACCTGTAGGAATTATGTTTCAATGCGATTGAGGAAAACGTGAGTGAATATTGTGACACTAAAGCAACTTTTAACTGCATTGTCACTTTTGGTATGAAAATGGTAATAGTAAAGAAAAACGTAACAGCCTTCTTATGATAATTCTCATATTCTCATTAGTACGTTGTGTCTAATTACAGTGTCGGCCTTATTTACAGGTGATTCTACAATACCTGCTCTCTGTCAATTACGATCTACCACACCACGCGTGAATAAACAGTTATGCAGGTGTTGCTGTGGGCAAATACCTAGCCTGAAAATGTTTATTTTTTTTAGGATACATGTTTTACAAATGTTCGTTGATATGTGGATATATTAAACACAAAGACAAAAAAAATGTTTATGAAAGATGAATTAGTGCCTTAATATATTCATCGAGATGTGTATCATCGTTTAATGGGGTCATTCAATAAACGTATGTTTGGAGGAGATATCAAAGGAGCCGCCCAATATACACAGTGTCGTCCGGTGAACTACCACCCCACCCTGTCCATTAGAGTTATGTAATCGGTACACAAATATATTTGATGCGGTGTCAGTGCGGAAGGAGTTTGAATTACGTCCGCCAGTTGTCACAGAAATCCTCAAAGTATAGAAACAATAAACAAGGTCAATCCGTACTAATTACCAAGTGACGCACGTAACAACGACTGTCAATAGGGAAAATGGTGAAAACAAATTGAAATAGATTTTAATAAAACATTACTGTACTACATAACTCGCAAAAGCGGTGCCTAAATTTTTTGACCGTGTTATGTGTGTTGTAAACTGACGAATAGCAAGTAATTGTCATGCTGTACGTATGGTTCCATATACAAATTCATATACAAAATGTATCACTAAAGTATTTGCATTGTAATAAATATAGTAATGATAAAACTTGGTAAGTTGGTAGGTCTCCGACAGATATCATTTTCAGTTTTTTTACACCTTTGATTGATACGGATTACGTACCTGTAGTCTAGTCACTGTCCCTAATGTATCTGCTTGTTAGAAATTTCAAATGTCTTGTTATAGCACTGTTCCTAAAATACGGCAGTTTCTTTTATCGGGTATAAATAGTTGATTCGTCTTGTCACGCAGTCATTTTTTACTTGATCGAATGATTTCCACAAAAAACTACGGCAGAGAGTTTTGTATTTTATTATATTTTTAGAAGATTTTAGAAGATGCTTACATCACTGTATCTCAGAACGTAAAACTGATAACATTCAAACATGTAATTAGTACACAGTTAATTGTTACATATAATTTCCTGCATATTCCTTTTTGAACAAAAAGCCTACATGTATACTGTTGGATAGGACTTGTAAATATTGTCACGCCAATCCTACTAATGATCATGTAAATTATGTTGAAGATGAATGTCACTTTTTAATAGAATGTCCATTTTATGATGATTTAAGATACAACTTAGCTAAAGAAGCAACTTCTGTAGATAAAACATTTCATTATATGAGTAGTTTAGAAAAGTTTATTTTTATTATGAACGAAGAATCGCTCCAATGTATTTTAGCCAAATCAATTTACAACATGGTTAAAAGAAGGCAATTTCATTTTAAGCCAAGTATGTATGTATGACTTGTATGTATGTATGTATGTATGTATGTATGTATGTATGTATGTATGTATGTATGTATGTATGTATGTATGTATGTATGTATGTATGTATGTATGTATGTATGTATGTATGTATGTATGTATGTATGTATGACGTGGTGTGTGGGCGGCGCAACGCTGTGGGGGGAGTTAAGGGGGAGCGCACTGTTTAACTAAGGACTTTCGAAGTCAGTTGCCCTGTATCCTGGCATACTGGTGCGCTCTTCACTGAAACCGCCCACGGCCGTGCTCCGCGCCTGCATCACGAGGTATGTATGTTTTATTCTGTTTCAACTGAATAGTTTTATGATTGATATGTTTTATAGTGTCTCGTAGGTCATATTTGGCCGGATGTTATATTTTACTGTTTTGTATATATCGTACTACGAAGTGTATATAACATGTGACACTTTAATAAACAATATTCTCTCTCTCTCTCTCTCTGTATACTGATATCGGTGTCCACTGTTAAAAGGGTATTAGTGCAGTCAGCCATGGT